CGCACACACACAAAAAGATGGAACAACTAACTCTGTACCTTCCCGCAAAAAAAAACTGACTCTGTAAATTACATCTTGCTGTCAGGCTCGTTCATGACGTTCCTGATGCATGGTTGCAGGGGAAAGCAACGCTCGAGGAGAGGGATATGATGGAGATGGTCTCGAGGAAGGAGCAGGCAAGTGGATTGATCCATTGCAGTTAATCATAGCACTCGGTTTCGCCGTGGAGTTGATGTCTTGCATGTAAACAGAAGCAGGAGGGAGGAAGGTATGTAACTAGAAGCCAGCAAAGCAGCAGGGAGGTGGATTTGACGCTCAGCCTCGGCATCGGCATTGGCTGCAACGTTGGTTGCTCGCGCAGGCACCAAACGCCAATTGACCTCAACATGCCGTGACACAGACATTTTCGGCTGGCTCATGAGTTTCATAGTTGCAGTGACGTTGCATGTGAAGCACCAACAGATTCTCCAGAATTTGCCGCGAACATTTTGAGTTGGCTTAAGTCAAATCCGAAGCTATCATAATTTCTGCACAGGTGCACAGCTTTTCACCCCATTGCGTCTAGGGCTCGATTAAGAGTTTGGTGTTCTTCTTGGGTTCGGTTGTACTAGCACAAGCTTACTGCACAAAAAGTGTGCATTTGTGCTTATCTCCACCAAATTCAAGTTATCTTCCATGACTACCATGATATGTATCTTCACTGAAACGAATCCATGATTTGTGTTCAACTAATGCAGTAAGGTACCCTTGGTTATAGTGCACAACTCTGGTAAACTCAAGTTATTATGCGTCAAGAAAATATTTCACTATCCCCGCAAAAAAAATCACTAGATTTTTTATGACGGGGTTACTGAGTGAGGGAGAAAGTGAGGATTGTAGATGGTAAACATGTTTTTTTAGTGTCAACATCTCCTCTATTTATTCATAGAAGGATCTCTGCCGAAATAATCAGGCTGAGTTTGTGGGACACTGTAGCTCCGGGAAAAATTAAAGCACACACATGGAGATTGATCCGAAATGGGCTAGCGGTCGGCTCAGAAGTTCACAGGAGAAGAATTAAGGCTGGAGTCTTCTGTGTTGCTTGTGGTCGAGAAGAAACAAATTATCATCGGTTTTGGGACTGTCATCAGCCAGCAAAATTCTGGAAGGTAATGCGCTCGGAATTGGGAGTTCCGGTGGCGATCCCACCGGTTTCAGTAAGCTCCCAGGGTGATCTTTCTAGATGGCTGCTGTCTTGGTTGGCGGATGCCTCTAACGACGAACGAGCTACCATGGTTCGGAGCCTCTATGGGCTATGGTTGGCAAGGTACAGTGCACGGGATGGAAAGAGGATCGAAGAGGCGTCAGATACTGCTCGATCAGTGGTGAAGGTGATGGAGGAATGACAGTCGGTTCATGGCCGCAAGAGCAAGATTGTGAAGCCTGTAACAATGCAGAAATGGGAGCCGCCGGACCCTGGATGGGTGAAGGTGAACGTCGACGGAGCAACGAGCAAGATGGGAGAGAAGGGTGGCGCGGGAGTGGTTCTTCAGAAATCACGAAGGTGCCTTCCTGGGAGGGGCATGCCACTTCTTTCCTCAGTCTATGGAGCCAGCAAAGATCGAACTACAGGCGTGCTGGCGCGGGGCACAGCTAGCTGACGAAGTGAATGCTACTAGACTGAATATTGAGATGGACTGCAAAGATATCGTCAGCAAGCTTCATAACAAGGAGCGTGACTTGTCGATGCTGGGGCAAATGATCGAGGAGGTGAAACAGCTTCTGGAGACACGCCGCCAAGAGTGGAACGTGAGTTGTGGACCAAGATTTGAACCTAGCGGCAACGCATAGCAGCAGCACGATGCAAAGAAGAAACTTGCGCATACCTTCACTGACGAGAGGCTTCCCTTGTACCGCGTTCGTTTGCTTCAGATCTCCATCTTCGATCGCCGGGCGCGTCGGGCGGCGCCGGCGTTGTGTCCGGCCGTCGGGGGAGCCGAGGAGGATTGGGGCTGGGCGAGAGCCAGGGAGAGAGAGTGTCTCTCCATTTCCCCGGCACGTGTCTCAGAGGCTTCCGCAGCAGCCGCCAGGTGCCCCATCAGCTGAACGGTCGTCGGTCGGTGACACGCGCGACGTGCACGGCCCCCGTCAGCCGAACCCCGCTGCAAATGTGAATCTTTCCGCGAGGTCAACTGGAGCAGCCCACGGAGAATATTAGTATTTTTTAAACACGGTAACACAGACACAGAAGCATACGCTCATTTATTTTTTGGCATCAACGCATATACTCACATACACTCACTCTATAAATGCTCGTACACACATACTCCCTCCGTTTCTAAATATTTGTCTTTCTAGAGATTTCATCAAGTGACTACATACAAAGTAAAATGAGTGAATCTATATTCTAAAATATGTCTACGTACATCCGTATGTTGTAATCCATTTGAATGTCTAGAAAGACAAATATTTAGGAACGGAGGGAGTACTATGCATGTGATCACCTTCGGAAAACTGAGCCAACACATTATTTTGAGATTGACGAAGTCGCCATAAACACCTTCATGATCAACCGAAATGTTTCACCAAGGGCCTAAAATACCCCCGCAAAAAAGGGGCCTAAAATAAGTCCAAGAAAATACGACCATCAATGTTAAACCCTCGTGGGTTAGTTTCACAAAAAAATACCTAGTTCACAGGGGAAATACACAGAAGCTCCTGGTGCTCCATACCCCTATACGGATATTAAATGTAAAAGTACCAATTTTTTTTAAAAAAAGGATATGAAATTTAGGGATATCAAATTTGGATTCTCAATCTACTCCCATGTGAAGTTTCGTGAAAAAATACCAAGAAAGCATATCTGCGGCAAAGGAAATATTGTCGAACAAAAATCCAACCAAACAGTTTTTTTTCTATTCATAGGGATCTTTTTCTTTTGCCACAGATATGTTTCCTGATATTTTTTCATGAAATTTCACACGAAAGTAGATCGGACACCCAAGTTTGGTATCCCAAAATTCCAGGAAGTTTTTCAACGTTCTTGGTATTTTTTTAAACTTGATGTTTATATAAGGGGTGGAGCATCCAGGTGCTACAAATCCTCTTCCTAGTTCATAGCTCGTATACATTCTAAATATAGTAATTTGAAACACAGAAAAAGGAAAAAATGGAATGAGATGTTGAATATCCATAATTTTATAGAAACAAGAATCACATAAAAAGAAAAAGAAATGGTAGAAAAACATAGGAATTATTGACAAACAACAGAAGAAAACATGAGATCCGGCTTCCTCGAAAAATTCTAAGGCCCATAGAAATCCAAAGGAATGTATGATAGTAATTCCTCTGTTCCAAACAGCATCAAAGGAAAAATCCTTATAAGAATCCTATCCTTCAAAATTCATGTGATTTTCTTTTGTTGTCCTAAACCTAAAATTGAACACGGAAAGTTTGGCTTCGCTAAAGTTAGCATCTGTGTTGTCATTGACTTACACATTGTAGTCTACAAATGAAGTTGTTTCGTATCACCTCTTGGCAAACATGAATACGCAAAAAAGAAATATGTCTTCTCTTTGAAATTTTTTGTTGATGTGTACATTAAGTATCAGTTAGATCATAATTTTGTTGCATTAAATATGTGTTACTTCCTCTGTTTCAATTATTGTCGCGGTTTTAGTTTAAATTTGAACTAACACCACAATGATAATGATAATTATGGAACGGAGGGAGTATTTTTCTTTTAAGAAACATGGTACAAATGCAAGCGCCGGCGGAAACACGCTATTTTTAAAAAATAATACATTTATTTTATTAATTTTTAGAAATACTATGTGAAATATTTTTTAAAAAAAGTAATACATAGGCAGCCATCTGGTGGCCGACTGGATCCAGTTGGTCAAGAGTAGGCCGATTAGTACCATGTCGGCTAACAACAGGCTGATTGGCTCCTGCCCACTCATGTCGGCTAACTATTGGCCAACTGAAACTAATTGGCTTATAGTAGGCCGACTGAAACTAATTGACTTACAGTTGGACGATTAGTTCTAATTGGCTTCCCGTAAACTCGTAGGTGCATGTCCCATTTTCTCAGGCGTAAGTTTCCCGCTTCTAGGCACAAAGGTGGGTAAGCATAAGCAAGAAACTTAGGGCCGAAGAAGCTGATAGATGCATGCCCAGTGGCGGAGACAGGGGGGACCAGCAGGGGCCATGACCCCCCCCCCCCTAACATCTCATATTTGCTGCTAATCATCTAATGAACAGTGCACAATTAGTGTGTATTTTGCTGCTAAAAACCTACTTTCTAGTGATTTGGCCCTCCTATAATATTTTTCTGGCTCCGCCACTATGCATGCCCCATTTTCTCAGGCCTAAGTTTCCTGCTTCTAGCCACTAAGGTGGGTAAGCAAGAGTTCTTAGGGCTGAGAAAATAGGGCATGCACCTATCAGCTTACAGTAAGCCAATTAGTTCTAGTTGGCTTACTGTAAGCCAATTGCTCAATCGGCCTGCTGTTAGCCGACAGGTTACTAATCGGCCTACTCTTGGCCAACTAGATCCAGTCGGCCACCAGTTGGCTGACTATGTATTATTTTTTTAAAAAAATCGGTGTAATATTTCTAAAAATTAACAAAATAAATGTATTATTTAAAAAATTAGCGAAATGAACACTCATTTCTATGAATGCACATACTCATATACTACTCCCATGACACATCCGAGAGGGCGAGTAGACAAATCTTGAGATTAACAAAGTCACCATAAAACGACTTATAGTGAACGGGAACGAGGTCTTCATGAACATCGTCGAAAGTCCTGGAATAAATCTAGGATCATGCAAGCACTCATGCTAAGTTTAGGACTTGAACTTGGATGGAATCTTCTATTCTTAAATAGTTGCAACCCACTACCTGTTTTTGCTCCTCATGCAACCATGCCACATCATCAAGTCATGCATTATTTTTACCTCTTCATGTTACCATGCCACATCATCGATTCATGAATGTGGTCATAAGTTATAATTTGTGCACTAATCTAACCATTATTTCACTAATTTTTGTGTGGGCATAAATGGCATATATATTGGACGCTTAGAGCAAATATATGTAGATCATATTACACACTTTTGTTTAAATGGCACCCCATTTACTTTAATTCAATAGTTTATATTTTTTATACATCATTTTGTCAAATGCTTCATATGATTTTTTAAATATAAACTGAGAGCAAATCTAAATTGTTTTCTGCAGTAGTTTTAGTTTTTAGCCCCTATTATGCATTTGTTTATCATGTTTCCCGCAGCAATGCGCTGGGCATCATCTAGTGATTCGAACACATGAAACCATACCATTTAAGCTACACTTGATTCACAAATGTGGTGCTATTGACCGTCCCGTAGTCCCTGCACGCGCTGTCGTC